ACTTTCCACACGTTTTTTCAAAAAAGCGTAAGCGAGACCTTCAGATTATTTTTGATGCTCTACATGACGGACAAAGTGAAATTTTCGCGGCAAGATGCTCTGTGTAAAGTGGGCGGACCTGTGTGGAGGGCCGGACCAGAGATGTTAGCCGACAGACTTTTCGTCGACGGCGGCGTGAAGAACGCAAGAGAAATTTGCAATCAACGGCGGACGTAGCGTTTATTTCTAGAGAAGTTTCGACTTTCGGCGGCGTTAGTCAAAAAATTTGCTGCATCAGCGGCGCGGCTAACATCTCTAGACTGGACCCATGATCTAAATAATGCAATGCCAAGTAGAACGAAGCCATTCGGTATTTTACTTAAAATTGTTTGTTGACATAAATAATCCACTTACTCAAATAGAATAACATAATTTTATTAGATATATCAAGACCAAACATGTTTTTGAGAAATATAATATTTCTTTTAACGTTAGCTTATATATTTTTTCTTTTTGATACTCATTTTAAATCAATCTTATAATGTTTTGAACGTTGGCGTCAAATAAACTCGTTTTTTTCCTATTTCTCTTTTGCTATTATCCACTTTAAATTTACATCTACATTTCCTGCTTGAGATTGTATGGTAATACTCAACAACAAAAACAATTAAGATACAAGACGAGAGAAGCTGACGATGAATTTATTTTCTCACAAAATAAGCTGTTCAATAATCATAATAAATAATTTTTTCTTTGTTTTGTCTAAATATTCTATTATATACTAACAATATAAAAAATATGTTTAACAAAACTGAAGTATTCTCGAAATGTACGACTTATTTACTTGATGGAGTAGAAGAATTCAAGTGTACTGATTAATAGAACTAATTGATATTTAGAATTATTTAAGAAAAAATTTCCTCTAATGTTCTTTATGTCCTTAATATTTTTAGAAAAGTTTAAATTTACACCCCCCCCATTTTCGACATATATACACACTGTGTACCCGTATATTTCTCTAACTTATTTCCCATTTTCATTATCATTTTTTTTTTTTTAAAGTCTTCAATTCTTTAGACATCGATATATTGGCTGTACATCACCGAGGCTAATGCGAGAAAAATGAATAAATAAGTAAATGAGAACCAATGAATGATCGAAATGACAAGCATTTCATCCGTATTACTGTCAATATTCTTTTTTTTATCTCAATATTCGAAGACTGTAAAGCGACATCATCACAAATTTAATCGCGTTTGGTTTTCTGTAATTTTTTTCTCTTCTCCCTATTCTTTTTTTTTTTCTTCTGTAATTTTTTCTTCATAAAAAAAGATAAGGAAAATTAGATATTCGCCCAAATCCTTCTATGTCTATGAGGCATCGCTTATATACAGAAAAAGGGAAAGACGATATTTCTTTCTAACAATTCAACAAGAAGGATTTATTTAATCATTATAACGCCAGAAGTATATGTTGACATATTCTGATTTAACAACAAAAGAATGAGATGAAAATATCTATGAATACTGACATGATCTCATTATTAGATGTTTTGTACAAAAAGCAGAGATGGTAGTGACATGGTAAGATAATTCGGACATTGAATTGATATCTAAAGAAAGATAGAAAGTGGACTATCCTCAAGGAATTGTTCACTTATTTTCTCAGTCCAAGATATAATTTTTCAAATCTTAGATAAAGTACAATGATTCAATATGACAATCATTTATGTTAGTTATACATTCTATTTTGTTGTTCTTCTTCAACAACATGTGATAATTGAGGCTCATAGTGCTTCGTCCTCAGCGGCATTTTCTAGCAGTAAACTGTTTAAAAAACCTGGTGTACAATCGGTAACAAAGAAAAAAACTGGCATAGATGGTGTGCATGAAACAGATGATGATTCTGGTACGTTATTATTCCTATTATTATTATTGAATTAAAATAATAAATAATAATAATAACTATATATATGCATTTTAAGCTATAAAATACAATTCGGATGAAAGTCGTTTAAGAGCACAATTATTAGATAGTTATATACCAGAAGCAAGACCAGTGATTAATATAACAACAGTGACAGTCGTTGATGTTTCATTAACTATTATTCAAGTCATGGATCTGGTGGGAATAACCAATGTCTTTTACTTTTCATGCTCAACTATACTAATTTATTTTAGGATGAACAAAATCAAGTTATGACTACAAATGTCCAAGTTACATTGGTAATGAAATTTTTTCTCGTCATCTTCTTTTACTTTTTTCAGAAAACATGATGAATACTTTTATTTATACATATTAGAAATGGCAAGATGAACATTTATGGTGGACTCCAAGTGACTACGATGGTCAGAATCGAACTGTATTCTCAGCTCGAGAAATATGGACACCAGATATTGTTTTGTTTAATAGGTAGACTAGAATATAGATGAATCTTATAAAACCTATATTATATAGGATAATCTTTATTTTTTATAGTGCCGATGTTGCTTATAGTCAACAACGTGAACATTATCTTATAACGGTACATTTTAATAGTACAGTTGAATGGGTATTTCCCGATGTATTTCGATCTTATTGTAATGTTGTGATCACATACTTTCCATTTGGTAAGAAAAGAAGGAAAAAATATTTTGTATTGTGTATATTATCTCACTATTAAATCTTTTAGATAAACAAAATTGTACATTAGAAATTCAATCATGGTCACGTCCTAGTGACGAATTATTAGTTCGACATCAATCTCAAAATTTTCGTCAACAACAATTGCAATATATTCGTACAGAATGGCAAGTATACGATATCAATGTATATAATGCTACAAGCAAACGTTATTTATGGCTTGTATTTCATGTACTAATGAAACGAAATCATCAATTTTATGTTAATCATATGATATTTCCATTTTCTATTCTATCATGTTTAACATTATTTGTATTTTGGTTGCCACCAGATAGTGGTGAAAAAATTACATTAACAATCACCATTTTACTAGCATTAACAGTTTTTTTACAATTAATAACCGATTATACACCAAAAGCGTCAAGTAATCTACCAATCATTGGTAATATATTTATATATCCTCTCTCTCTCTCTCTATCTATATATATAAATACAGATTTTAATTGTTAATTCTATCTTACTTTATTATGATTATCTTTTTTTTCTAGGTATTTATTTTAATGTTAATTTAATACTTGTTCTAGTATCAGTTATTTTAACCGTTGTTGTTTTGAATTTTCATTATCGTGGTCCAAAGAAAGAACGTGTACCATTATGGTGTCGACGAATTGTTATGTATAAAATTGGTCCATGGTTAGGATTTCGATTTTCAAATAAAAATAATTTATTAACTGATAATACAACAATTCGTAATATGGGTTGTACAAATCGAATTAGTAAAAATAATGGTGATATTGGTAATCGTATCACGAAAAAGGACAATGATGATGGTTCAGCAGTAGATCATATTGTACTTGTTAATTTTCAAGATGATCATCAAACTAATGATGATGATGATAGTGGTGTTCAACCACTAACACATAATATTGAACAATTACTATTAAAAATGCAAAATACATTTGATCCTTCGAAAATTGATGATGAAAATTTAAAATTATCAATATTACGTGAAATATTAGAATGTCAACGATTATTGTTAACAATTCATGCTAAAAAGCAAAATGTACATACACAAACGTTACAAGATATTTATGAAGAATGGAAAATATTGGCAATTATTGTTGATCGTTTATGTTTCATATTTTATTTAATTAGTATGATTGCCGCTAGTATCATATTTTTTGTGAGAGAACCAATTTTGAAGTGAAATAAATAGAGACATACATCATCGTCAAATAGAACTAACATATTAATTCAGTAACGAAGAGTTGTTGAATTTATCTCTGTACTAACCATTTCTCACACAAAAGAATATTCAGTTAACCATTAATTTTCAATAGAGAAACTTATCTCTTGTAGCTATTCTTGAATACTCTGTTATTGGACTACCTATCAAATCTGGTTATTTTAATGATTTTTTTTGATATAAAATACACTGTACATTAATTCGATTTTGTTCGAAAAAAAATGATTTTCCTAATGTTCTACTTTTTCTCGATTCTTTCTTCTTTTGTCTAAGTTTTGATTTTCTCACATTACACACTTATCAGTACAAAGATAAAAATCATCTTACAAGATTCATCATCTTCTTATAGAATCTTGTGATTAAATCTGGCAAAAAGCGACGACTTATTTATACTATAGAAACTTTGTTATGATTTATTTTATTTATTTCAAGACATAATATCACCGATATTTTTTTGAATCACTTTTGATAGAGATGAGATAAAGACTTGTAAATTTTACCAATAGATGAGATTTAAAAATTCTTGTTTTAAGATAAAGTTTTGAAACAAGAAAAATCCCTACGTGTTTCTAAAATTTGAAATTGAAATGTACTTGTTTTCTATCTGGAAAGATACCCTAACGTGACTCAAAATAAATGGGAATTGTCTGATAGCTTCATATATCATGAATTTAGAAGTAATATCGAGTAAAATTTGCAGGTCTCTATCTCGTTTTCATCAAACTTAAACTATCTGTGATCACTATGTTTTGAGCAGTCCGAACACAAATGAATTGCATGGCTAAGAAACGCAGCCAAGCATGGTCTAAGGATGATAGATCCTACCTATGCCCGAAATATCACGGAGAAAAAAAGAGAGTTTATAGTTGTTCTGTGAGAAAAGATCAGGCGCATAAGCATATAAGATCTCAAGATTTTACAAGATCGCATAGTCCTGTAAGAAAGATCTTTTCAGGTTGGCAAAGATTTATTTATTTAAAGCCTGAAGTTAACTAACAAGGACCAGTGACTTTTGTCTTAGGCCCTTAAATAAATAAAAATGGTGAAATTACACTTGATGTATTACAGTTTTGTTCATAGTTCTGCTGGCATTTATGATTTCTTCTTTTATATTATCCGCGGGGAGATTTTAATATATAAAACGGCGTGTACACCCGTGAATATCGTGAAATGAACTGCGGTCGCACGTGAACATCGTACAACGGTGTGGGCACGCACGAAAAATATATTCCACTTGTATATTAAAAATTTATTCACTTGTATTGTAAAAATATATTCCATGGAAACTTTTCACGTCATATTTTTCGCACGTAGACACTAGTGAAGGTCGTAAAATTGTGTGTGAATACATCATATGTGAAAAGAAATTCTCGCTTGTGAACGCATTTGAAATTATAGCCAGTTCACACGTGACCACACATTTGATGTTGCAAGTGTACTGCACGACCCCAACGTCGTGAAACTTCGACAAAACTTCCTCATGGGTATTCTATTTTCTTGTGATCTGACTAATGTTCTTTGTGTCAATGTGGCGCCGTAGTATTTGATTCTGATAAGTCATTTCGTCGATCGATACATTCGCTCGATATGTGATGTGGCATCCTGAGTATGTTGAACTCCTTTATTTTGTACTGTTTGTAATCTTGCTCAGACTTGACTTTTCTCCAGCTGTATAGATAGCGGTAATAGATGATCCGAACGCCATTATACAGAACGCAATAGTGATTTATACAGATTGTTTCATGGCTTTGTTGTTGCTTTCAGGTGCTGATCGCGATAGATATCTCAAAGTATTTATTCTAGAGTGCACTTTAGCTTCAACGAATTTAGTAAATGCTCTCCCGTCAAATTTTCTATCGGACGTCATGCCGAGATATCGGGCTGGTGGTTTTTGTTTGATCAGCGCTGTTTCTATTTTTATTTGAATTTTTATTTTTGTACTTTATTGCGTATATGTGTGGTAAAATGGATGCGCTCTGTCTTTGTTGATTGAATTATTGGCTTCTACTATACGCACCATTGTTGAAACCCATCAAGAGATTCTTATAAGCGTTTTCTTAGTGTTGTAGTTATGGTAATAGCGGTTTATAGAGCGGTATCGTTGGCATATAACCCAAAGTCTGTATGATCTAAGATTGCATTCATCGTGTCCGACGTGTAAATTTTATATGAGAGCAATAACGGCGGTCTCGGAGGCATGCCGATTCTCAGGGTAAATGGATTATAGGGCATGTTTTCTAGTTCAATTGATGCTGTTCTATCTTTTAAGAACGATGTTACCCATGTGATGATGTATTGTGGTAGTTGAATTTCATACAATTTATAGATAAGATCCTTGTGGCACAATTGTACAGCATCCAAAGCTTATTCGATATCGAAGAATATCGCTGCGCTGTGTTGTTGTTTGAATAACTGATCATTAGCGAACTTCTCCGAACGTAAAACATTGTATAATGGATTTCGTTGGACATAGAATCCTACTTGATGATCAGACTGTATATGCCTTTCATCTAATATACGCGTTATATGTTCACACCGTGTTAGCATTTTGTATTTATGTTATACATGATAATAAAATATTTAGCTGTTGTCGATAAACTTCTCCTTTTGCCGATTTAAAATCGTTTGCTGGATGTAGTGATTGTGGTTTTCTATCTGAGATTGCATTTAGTATAAATGTTAGAGTTTTATGGCCGTTACTAGCGGTTTGTTAAAGAACGCCTAGAAACGGATGTCTTATGACATTATTGATAAGACAGATTGTTGGCGAGCTAGCAAGAATTCAGTCTATTTTTTCTTTGTAGTTGTTACATTCATAAGTTGTTAAACGATCATATATATAGAAACCTACTTTAAGAAGGACTTTTAGTTGCCGACGTTTTACATTTGTTGTGCCTTTCCCTTTAGAACTACATTTATATCGCCCAAAATAATAACGTCAAAAGGAATTTGTTCTAGTCGGTCGAAACTTGTTTTATTTAGTTTGACTTTGAATGGTATATATATGGACACTACAAGTAAAAGTGCTATCGGTATCTCAATATGGTCATCTACGATTTCATTTTATTCTTATGTTGTGTTTACTATTTCATGTCTTTTTATCGTATCTCTGATAATCAGCAGTGCACCTCCTCGAGCGTTCCTGAATACTTGAAGTGAGGAAGAGAAAATGTCTGTTTAGTCGACTTTCGTCAATGGATATTACGTGGGGCGATGGTTACCTATACGAAGTAGCTACTTCATGATAAATTACCTCTTCGATTTACGTCGCATTAACTGCACCATATGATATAATATATACTTCAGTGTGTTACATGGGTACGCGACAGAATATGTTACTAATCCTTTAGTCATTTCTGTATTAGCTGTATTTACTTGTTTAACTGCTTGTCTCTACTTGTGCTACTGTGAACTCATGATTGTTTGTCAAAAATAAACTAACTAACTACGTCATATTGATAAAATCTGCGTATAATTTTCTTTTGTGCTTGTTTACTGATGTTGTATTTCTATGACGGAAGCGCATTAAATGACTGATGTTTTATTACTATACGATCTTGGTTGTTCTCGTTTGCTATACAGTCTTCATTATCTGCTACCTGATTTTACTGGTAGTGCTGTTAACGTTAGCTGATGCGTTTTGTTACTAATCTGATCTACTGAATGGGTATTGATATTGATTACCGTTCTAAAACTATTCAAAATTAGTGCACACATTAGACTAAACTTTGGTATCAGTGATATTCGTAGCACACAAACTATTGGAGTTTCGCTGACTAACAGTAACTCATCTAGTTCCATCTCGTACTGATTATCTTCTTCGTGTTGATCTTGTTCATTTTCAGGTACTTTTTTCAATTTTTCACGCCTCTCTTTATATTTTGTGCATTGTTTTACATGGTTGTATAATTTCCACCATAGTTACTAAATAAGTACGGTTACCATTACATGATGCCTATTTTTGGACAGTTTTCAGCCTGTTAGAAAATGTTATTTTAAGGCATTAAAACGTTCCCATTTATAAGGTGTAGAAATTACCATTTAATGACTATTTCATTAAATATTAACTACCATTTAATAGAGAATTAATTACACCGTTTTCGACATCTTGGATTTCTTTTCTTCACTGATGTTCTACTGACTGTTGTGTTTGATTTCCGTTTACTTGAGCCCTGCGGCTACTTTCGCCCATCCATAGGTCTGGAATCCATCGTTGTCGGATCCAAAATTAACATTTATTGTCATGGTTTACTTTGAATTTAATTAATTTAATTTTAAAAGTTTCTAATATTTTTTTATTCTTGTTTTAGATGCGTCCTGTTCTAAGCGCATAACTAACTTTCTGGAAGATCTTTTGAAATCGTGCAAGATCATAAGATATTTTATACGATCTTGTATACGGATGATAGGATGTTGTAAGATGTTATCATACGAAAAATCCACAGATTGTTTTCGCGGAAAATCTTGCAAGACTTCCATAGGATTGTACGACATCTGTTGAAGTCTTGTGATTTTTTATGACAAAATCTTATCGTGAGGCTTTTGATCTAAGAATAAGATAATATAAAAGCTCGTTATTACTTCTTTTTTTTAACGATATATGAGGTTTTTAAGATTTACCGATGAAGCTGTGTTTTTACACTTTCTTGTCCTATCTATAGCGTTAAAAAATAACCGTTTCTACATGAAGAGTCAGACTACACGTAATACTATACAAGATATTATCTTCAAAATACAGTATCTCTTTTGTTTGTCATCTTTTTTCATGAAACGTGAGGACCGGTGCAGAAGTTTTAAGAAAAGTTGCCTTAAAGGTAATCGAGTTAGAGGAAAAATATTAAAGACCCATCAGTTTGATCCCGAAAACAGTATAAAAAGAAAAAATCAGAAAAAAAATTGACATTATAGCTATATGCCCGGCAGAAACTTTTTCTTGCAATTAGTTAATTTTTTTCGTGTGA